TATTGATAAGTACAGTGGAAAAAAATGTTTTATGATAGCAGCAAGAAAGCTTGAAATTTTGGGGAGTGATGACATACACTCTTGGCAATGGAAGAAACACCACGATTCCAGGTTTATCTCTTATCATTTCCTTAATTTGATCTACAACGTACGTCATTCCACTTTCTTATAAATGTTTTATGCAACGTATTTTAATTTGATTACGTATAAAATAAATTTCTTAAAATTATTTTTTTTAGCGGCTTTCTATTAAAAATAATAAAAAAAATTCATCAGGGATAAGTACAAGTAAAGGGAGCTGGACCTTACCTTACCAGTCATAATGAGGTAACAAACCTCTACTAACTAACAAGCATGAAGAAAAAATAAAAGCTAGAAAAAACTAGGATTTTGTGATTACCATAGAGTTTGTAATACACTCTGATGATATTACAAATGAGGATGCTTAAATAATGTTAAAATATAACAACCAAGAATTAAGAAGGTTGAGTTATCGGCCTCAAACTTCCTTTGACAAGTGCATGAATTAAAAAAGATTGATTGCACATCTAAAGTAACTAAATCGTCACCATTCCCTGTTGACAATAGTAGCTGTCCAGATTCACCTTGATATTGACCAAGTGACTCCAATGATTGGGAAGGGGCCTCATGAGCCGAGGTGTTCAATGTAACCATGAGTGGCTTGATTGTTGGATTGGATTTGAGTAGCATGCCATCCTGATTTTCTTGAATAATCCTAATTAGCTACTTAAGGATTAGAAATATGTAATGTTGGAACCATAATATTACTATTTTTTCCAGTAGCCTTCAATAAAGCATCAAAGTTGTTCCAACATAATAGGGCTCTTGAAACATTACTAATATTGTGCCTCTTCTCACAACCTGGAGAAGCATTAGATGTTGCCTTCTTGCGCATTACCATGTTCCGCTCCTCTTTTCTACCAAATTCTCTCCCTTTGTTCAAATCCTTAACTTGCATTACCGCTAATACTGAACCTTCACTGAGCGAGATAAAACCATGTTGGGGCGGGCTGGACTACCTCGGGAGGAGGCTTTCCAGTGGTTGTAGCAGCCATGGGAGGGCTGCGCAGCTGCTGCTAAGGGGGTCACTATAGCTGTTAGAGCGAGGGAGCCCTAATACCTACTTTATCAAGTTACATTATTGTAGAGTTGTTATAGATTCAACAAGAAGGCTCAATCGAAAAGTCTATCCTATATCCCTTCGTATTTCTCCTTCCTATCACTAATAGGATATATGTGTCAAGAAATCTGGTATTTGATGAAGCATCAACATGGTGGTCCAAAGAGATTTCCTATTAGACTCAAAGTGAAACTCCTGTAATGTTGCAAGAAGAAGTCCGAGAAGCACCACAACCGTGACTAAGGAGGTCTACATGATTGAAATTCCCAAACACCAAGTATATTGATGCAACATTAGCAGAGTGGTCTAGATCAAGGAGACTACTACCTTCGAATAAGATTCAAAGAAAAGTGAGTGGGGAAGTTCAAAGGAGGAAGAGATTCATAAAGTTACTGGACATCAAGATGATTGCAATGTCTCGAGGATCACTCAAAATGGATGCAAAGAATAAATTAAGTTGGTGCTGAGAGGGGTGTTAAAAGTCATCACCACCTTAATTAATATCTAAGATATTTCAAAGAAGAATCTAGCATATTCAAGACTTGTATTGAAAGAAGAACTTTAGGATGAGAGTTCTAGAGTGCAAAGTCTAAAAGAATTCGAGAAAGAAGTGGAAGGTGTAGTTCTAGAATATTGCATTCACTAGATCCTTCCATCAACACCGATAAATAGAGGTGATCATTTGAGTTGTATGTTTACTCAAATAAAGAGTGTGTGCTCAAGAAAGAATTGAGAGTGAAGTGTACTTAAGAAAAGAGGGAGTGCAAAAGAAAAAAATGAGTTTATCGAGCTTTAAGACCGAAGCTTGTCCTTATAACAATAACAACAACATATCTGGTGAAATTCCACAAGTGGGGTCGATTGAGGTGGTCATTTGAGTTGTATGTGTACTCAAATAAAAGAGTGTGTGCTCAAGAAAGAATTGAGAGTGAAGTGTACTCAAGAAAAGAGGGAGTGCAAAAGAAAAAAATTGAGTTTAAAGAGTTTCGAGACCAAAGCTTTTCCTTATAACAATAACAATAACATATCCGGTGAAATTCCACAAGTGGAGTCTGGGGAGGGTAGAGTGTACGCAGTCCTTATCACTACCTTGTGGAGGTAGAGATGTTATTTTCAAAAGACCCTCAACTCAAGTGCAACAAATGTAAGTACAAGGAAGAAGAAAACAAGGAGGGTAGAGTGTACGCAGCCCTTACTAGTACTTTGTGGAGGCTAGGGATGTTATTATCGAAAGACCCTCAACGCAAGTGCAACAAATGTAAGTACAAGGAAGAAGAAAACAATGGAAAAAGATATAGCTACTAACAAGGGGGGTGGGGGTGGGGGCAATGCAAAATCCTATAAGAAAGGACTAAGAACAACAAAATATAGCTTATCTGTACTCATTGACAAAAAAGGAAAAAAAACATAATTGTATATGCTTATTTGTACTTATTACTATATTTGACAATGTATAGACCTCTGAAATCTTTTTTATCTTTTGATTATTTAATCATATATAAAGCTTGTAACAAAAAAACTTAGGTTATTTCTCGATTATAAAGTTTTATAAGAATTTTGACATGAATATTTCTAAGTCCTTAGCTCCAATGAATTATTTTGAAAAGTTGCCAGAAGGTTGCATCTTTGAAATAATTTCAAGAACAACTCCAGCAGATGCAGTAAGATCAACAATTTTATCAACAGAATTCAAATTTATTGCAAAATCCGATGAAATTTGGGAAAGATTTTTGCCTTCCGATTACCAAAAAATAATTGATAGATCTAAGCTTCCTCTGATTTGCAACACCAAAAAAGAGCTCTTTTTTAGTCTATGTGATTCTCCCATCCTCCTTGATAGCGGCAGACTGGTAAAATTTCATTTTGATGTGGTTAATTACCTTTTATGATTCATTTTATTTTTTGTAATGGTGGTATATGTGCTAGTTTGTGTGAACCTAAATTATTTATTAGGTACGTATTTGGTACCTATCACTAGATGCAAAATCAGAATTTAAGATTTATGGATTCAATTTTTTATTTAATTAACATTTAAATCATTATATTCTTTAAAGTTGTGATTCATATCTACTATCTATTGCATTTATCAGGAATTTTTGCACATAAATTTATGTTCCGCTATTTATGAAAGTACAGGATTCATATGAAAGTGGTATTCTACATCTACTTTAGCCTCTCACTAACACAAGTATTAAACAATATAATGGTGGAGTTAGAAATTCAAATAAGAATATTAAAAAGAATATTGAGTGTCACACTTAGGATTTAAACTCGTACTCTAAAACAACCTTTGAAACCCCTCTGTTGCTAAACTAGAATTTTAGATTCAACGATTCATATATAATTTATTTTTTAAAAATAATTTCACCTTGTTTGTATTGGTGTAATTGCGAGTACAGGAGATTCAATTAAACTTTTTTACGTCATTTATCTCGACTAGTATACCAAGTAACTCTACAGCTCAAGCAGGTAGAAAAAATGACCACCCAGTGTTTTTATCTTTAATAAAATTTTATATCTAATATCTTTTAATTTTTTCATAGTTAATGAAACTAGAAAGATCAAAAGAATCATGTTTTATTCTGTTTCACTCACCAAGTTTAAGTTATTCAAAAAAATTGAAGGATATGCCTTTGGGTTGTTGTGAGCTATCGTGTTGTATTATATTGTTATTTTAACCACAGCGTTTATTTGAATTGTTAATTATTTAATTTTTATTGTATCTTATCAATAAATTCATCATTATGTAACGATGAAAGTATCATTTTATGTAATGATCAATTTGATATGGCCATGTCATTACGATATTTTTATTTTCTTACTTTGACTTTGTTCATTACTTTATAATCTTTTTTTATTTTTTTCCCCTACCTTTATCTATAATAACTCTATCATGTATGCTACTTTTCTTTATAAAATTAAAAGTTCCTTACCTGGTGTGAATTTGGATTAATAATTAGATTATAAATACAATACTATACATTTTTTTATTGTTTAATGTTTTTTTTTCTTTCAGAGTTTTTTTATCGATAAGCACAGTGGGAAAAAATGTTTTATGATAGCAGCAAGAAAGCTTGAAATTTTGGGGAGTGATGACATACACTCTTGGCAATGGAAGAAACACCACGATTCCAGGTTTATCTCTTATCATTTCCTTAATTTGATCTACAACGTACTTCATTCCTCTTTCTTATAAATGTTTTATGCAACGTACTTTAATTTGATGTCGTATAAAATAGATTTCTTGAAATTATTATTTTTAGCGGCCTTCTATTAAAAATAAAAAAAAAACTCAATAGGGATAAGTACAAGTAAAGGGAGCTGGACCTTAACTTACCAGTCATAATGAGGTAACAAACCTCTACTAACTAACAAGCATGAAGAAAAAATAAAAGCTAGAAAAAACTAGGATTTTGTGATTACCATAGAGTTTGTAATACACTCTGATGATATTACAAATGAGGATGCTTAAATAATGTTAAAATATAACAACCAAGAATTAAGAAGGTTGAGTTATCGGCCTCAAACTTCCTTTGACAAGTGCATGAATTAAAAAAGATTAATTGCACATCTAAAGTAACCAAATCGTCTCCATTCTCTGTTGACAATAGTAGCTGTCTAGATTCACCTTGATATTGACCAAGTGACTCCAATGATTGGGAAGGGGCTTCATGAGCCGAGGTGTTCAATGTGACCATGAGTGGCTTGATTGTTGGATTGGATTTGAGTAGCATGTCATCCTGATTTTCTTGAATAATCATAATTAGCTACTTTAGGATTAGAAATATGTAATGATGGAGCCAATATTACTATTTTTCCCAGTAGCTCGGGAGGAGGCTTTCCAGTGGTTGTAGCAGCCATGGAGAGCTGCGCAACTGCTGTCAAGGGAATCACTATAGCTGCGCCAGAGCGAGGGAGCCCTAGTACCTACTTTATCAAGTTACATTATTGTAGAGTTGTTATAGATTCAACAAGAAGGCTCAATCGAAAAGTCTATCCTATATCCCTTCGTATTTCTCCTTCCTATCACTAATAGGATATATGTGTCAAGAAATCTGGTATTTGATGAAGCATCAACATGGTGGTCCAAAGAGATTTCCTATTAGACTCAAAGTGAAACTCCTGTAATGTTGCAAGAAGAAGTCCGAGAAGCACCACAACCGTGACTAAGGAGGTCTACATAATTGAAATTCCCAAACACCAAGTATATTGATGCAACATTAGCAGAGTGGTCTAGATCAAGGAGATTACTACCTTCGAATAAGATTCAAAGAGAAGGGAGTGAGGAAGTTCAAAGAAGGAAGAGATTCATAAAGTTCCTCAAAATGGATGCAAAGAATAAATTAAGTTGGTGCTGAGAGGGGTGTTAAAAGTCATCACCACCTTAATTAATATCTAAGATATTTCAAAGAAGAATCTAGAATATTCAAGATTTGTATTGAAAGAAGAACTTTAGGATGAGAGTTCTAGAGTGCAAAGTCTAAAAGAATTCGAGAAAGAAGTGGAAGGTGTAGTTCTAGAATATTGCATTCACTAGATCCTTCCATCAACACCGATAAATAGAGGTGATCATTTGAGTTGTATGTTTACTCAAATAAAGAGTGTGTGCTCAAGAAAGAATTGAGAGTGAAGTGTACTTAAGAAAAGAGGGAGTGCAAAAGAAAAAAATGAGTTTATCGAGCTTTAAGACCGAAGCTTGTCCTTATAACAATAACAACAACATATCTGGTGAAATTCCACAAGTGGGGTCTGAGGAGGGTAGAGTGTACGCAGCCCTTACTAGTACTTTGTGGAGGCTAGGGATGTTATTATCGAAAGACCCTCAACGCAAGTGCAACAAATGTAAGTACAAGGAAGAAGAAAACAATGGAAAAAGATATAGCTACTAACAAGGGGGGTGGGGGTGGGGGCAATGCAAAATCCTATAAGAAAGGACTAAGAACAACAAAATATAGCAATAACCAAAACACAATAAACAACATAAAATGATAGATATCACAATCAAGAACTACAATACTACAACTAGTACAACGACAAAACACCAACCAGCCAAAACTCTCGGAAAACACGACAACACTTCACTACCTACTAAACTTCTACCCTAGTACGCATCCGCCACACCTTCCTATCTAAGGTCATGTCAATCTGAAGTTGAGTCATGTCCTATCTAATCACCACTCTCCAATACTTCTCCAGATGGTCCTTAATTAGCATAAATAATTTTCAAGTTATGAGCACAATTGGTTGCTCACACCTTGAAATTATTTAATGCTAATTAATTAGGATCAGCCGAAGAAGTATTGGAAGGTCACCTTTATTATACAGTGCAATCTCGAACAGTTCGAGGTTCCTATAAATATTTTGATCGTAAAAAGATAAATCTACTATAACATGTTAAATTTCACAAATGATTTATAAATCTTTTTAGTTCAACCATCTGATACCCAAATCTCATTAATTTAACTTTTTATCTGGTAGACCTACAAAGGATATACACCCTACATATCATTAAAAAAAAAATTATAAAATTATCCTTACAAATGCTTCTTGCAATACTTTTGCAGATTCTCCAAAGTGGCATATCTTAACTCTGTACTTCAGTTGGACATTCGTGGAAAAATAGGAACAAAAATGTTGTCACCAAAGACAGATTATGTTGCTTATTTGGTGTTCCAATTGGGAAGAAGGTCATGTGAACTTGAATATGCTAATTCAATTATTAGGTTTGTTAAATATGAGAGTGATACTGAGACTGAAGAACAAGCCAATACTTTGAAACTTGTGACATCGGCAAAACTGAGAGGAGATGGATGGATGGAAGTAGAACTGGGACATTTCAATAGCAAGGAAGGTAGTGATGGTCCTGTCGAAGCAAGATTGTTTGAGATGAAACGTAGTAGTATCAAAAGTGGCCTCATTGTGGAAGGAATAGAGTTTCGTCCCAAAATAATCAAATGCAGGGAGTCAAAGGTGGATTTGAAATTTTAAGTTGTACGGGTTCTAAACTATATCTCTTTTTTTGTTTTATGGGTTTGAGGTACATTATTCATACCTATTAACTGAATTTCTTAAAATGTGGATTTTGAGCCAAAACTCTATTTTGGCATTGAAATGTGCTTTAGTTGGCTATGTCATTATGGTAATTAGAAAAACTCTAAGACTCTATATACTAGTTATTTATGTTGCTCTTATTTCCAAAGTTAGCATTACGAGGTGATCACCTCCCAATAACATTTGTATTATGAGGATACATATTGTGACCCCTCCTTTATTCGAGCTTGAATTTAACAAGCCAAGATAAGAAGGGTTCTAAAAAAGGTACGAACTGAATGGACTTATAATGTTTAGTGTGCACAAATCTTACACTTGCGAGATAAATTCATTATGAAAAAAAATAGATTTATATGTAAATATCGGTGTTTATATAAATAAAAAAAACTAGTATAGCTATTTTTTGTGGCAAAATGTTTTAAGCTTTCAACTGGAACATCTAAATAATAAAACCAATAACATACTTGAATCTATCAAGACATCATTTCGGGGAAACAATGAATCAACATCACAAGCTAATATATGATGCAAACTTCGGAAATAAAAGCAACATAAATCACTATGAAAACCATTTGAACGCACTTCAACTACATTATCACAACTTTCAGGGGCGGAGCCATAATAGAGTTATCAGTTCGGCAAACGGATAAATGTAAACTATGAAAATTAATAATATATAAGTGCTAACTTTGGAAATAAAAGCAACATAAACACTCTGGAAGTCTAGAGTTTTTTTATCTTAATACAACTTGAACACAGTTCAGCTACGTTGTTACGGGGGGCGGAGCCATAATAGAATTATTGGTTCAGCTGAACCTTGTACAATTAGATCTTCGGCCTAACTCACACCTCAAAATTAGTACATGAGGGAAGGAATTCCCAAGTCTATACAATCAAAACTATTGGTCCTTTCCCCACCCAATGTGGGGTTATAACCACTCCAACAAACCGAACAAATTAAATACATATACTAAATAAGCTAATGTAATGCTAAATTTGGAATTAAATGAATCATAAATCACTAATTATAGCGAGCCTTGGGTACCGGACGATTGAACTAATAATAATAATTTTATTTAAAGATTGAGTTGTATATAGTACTCCTATTTATGCAATTTAACTTACTACAGCACATTTTTCTTTTTACGTCAAAATCTTAATAGAACCTGCACACCGTCCGAGTATGCACCGGTAGGATCTTTTATTAAATAAATCAATATAAAATATTTTTATCATCAACTCATTTTAGCTTCATAAAGTCAAAATGTTTGTATCGTCCTTGATTAAAACAGTTTAAAAGTATTCTTATTATAGTGTGATAATATCTGTTTCAGATAAATCGACTTAGCTCACACAATTAAAAATATTCAATACCTTATAACTAGATTGTTTTTTTTTTTAGCTATCAATATGAAACTTTATCTGGCTGCAATTTCATAGTAAGCTGCTATGAGATTTTTGCCGACTTTATTTAGCTGTCATTTAATTCTTTTCCAGACGAAGAAAACAAAGTGCGAAAGAAATTTCCAAAGCTTATAGTATTTTCTTTCTATATTTACACCGCCAAATTTTCAGCTACTTTAATCATTGATATTTTTATTTTCGTTAAAATTAATCTTCCGATGGATTATTTTGGGTTGATGCCGGAAGATTGCTTATCGGAAATTTTATCGTTTACTTCGCCGGAGGATACTGCTAGGTTATCGACGAGCTCTCGAGGATTCAATTCTGCTGCTGAATCCGACGTCGTTTGGGAGAAATTTTTGCCGTCGGATTATCAAAATATAATTTCTAAATCAAAATCTTTACTGGCTTCTCCTTCCATGAAACAACTTTACTTTAGTCTCTGTGATTCCCCAATTCTCACTGATGGAGGCAAAATGGTACTTTATTTTCTCTCTTTTCTGGTTTTTTTTCGTTAAAGCGCGATGATCAATTGTGTGATTCAATTGGGCGGGTTAGGGTGGGTTAGGGCGGAGCAAGCCTTAACCCGTTAAGATTTTAACCCGCCCTACCCTGCCCCATTTAAAAAATTTCAACATTTTGCCCCGCCCTGCCCTGCGCCACTCAGCCCTGCCCTGATCTGCCTCATTTAAGTGTTGTTTATTTAAGGACTTGTAATAGTCAGACATCTTTGCTTTTAATCTTAGATTTTCGTTAATCATTGCCATCATTGTCATTTTCCAACCTAAATTATCTTTCTTTTGAATAATTTGGAAAGCATTTTTATTTATTCGAGACTAATAGATTTTCATGATCCAACAGGCCTAACACCAGTTCATTCACTTATACTGTCGAAAAAGGAAGGGAAAGATACTTTTTATCGGATAATTTCAGATTTTTTTTTTGACTTAGTAACATTAATTTCTTTTAAAAGACTACCAATGATAATAGATTCCCTTATAGAAAGGGACTCATTAAGCTCGTCATCCGGGTCTTGCTTAGTATTGTTTATTTTTTTAGTGTGGTTTGTAGCTTATTACCGTTTACCTCTCTAGTATGGTTTGCAGCTTATTACTAATTTTCTTGTGCATACTCAAAGATCGAGTAGTTGATGTGGTTTCCTTGTCAAAAAGGGACTCGATACATCAACATGACGTCTAGTAATTGTTCATTGACCCGATTGTATTCTTTTTTTGTGTTCTATTCAACGAAAGATAATAGAAAATGGAAAAACTACGTTCTATTTTTTTTCCAATCAATCATATAACACAAATGGTTCATGTTACTTTATTTGTGTCTACCTTTTCCTATCACGATTTGCTAGTTATTGCTAAACACCAAAAAAAATAAAAATTGAGTCACGTACTGAAGCCTAAAAGCATTGTAAATCTTCCTTTGGGAATCAATCTGAGCATTGTTGGCAAGCTACAAAGTGCTAAGGAACCTCTCATGAACCCACACCTGCCCTGCCCTATTAATTTTTTAAAAATATTAGCTATGACCTGCCCTGCCCTACCCCGCCCCGTTTAAGTATTGCTCCGCCCTGCCCCGTTTAACCTTTACCCTGCCCTGCCCTGCCCTTGACCTGCCCCATTGCCATCCCTATGTGTGAATTAACCTAAACTATGTAATATGCTGCTATTTCTATGATCAATTGATTTATAGTATTTTGTTATGTAGTTTTTAAATATAGAAATTTCATTTTTAGAAACTTGTATGTCTGAATTCATGGTCAAAATTTAGAAGTTTGAATCTCGAAATTCCAATTTGTTCCACATTAATTGAGATGGAAGTATATTAGCATTTTATTGAGTGAAGGGTTAGTTTTGTTAGCCTGATTTGATATGTGTTTTACTTGAGTCGAGGGTCTATCGGAAACAACCTCTCTACCTGTCGAAGTTAGGGTAAGGTTTGTGTATACACAATCCTCCCCGAACGTAACCCCACTTGTGTGATTACATTGGGGTGGTTATTGTTGGTTAGTTGTGTTTGATTAGACAAGGACCGCGATCTTCGTTCAATAAACAACCGAGAGATCAAAAGTATATGGATTTATTTCCGTTTTAAGTTTTTATTTTAGACGTACAACGAAAAAATAGCTAATTGTCAATGAAAAAGGGCCCTGTGGGCTGTGGCTATGGATGTGTATGGTCTAGGGGTGGAAATGTACAGGTGGTTTGTACCTAGGCATGTCAAGTGGGCAGGATTGGCCTGTGACCGTCCCATCCCAACCTGGTAAGAATAAGCATGTGACCGTCCCGACCATCCATAAGGATCATTGGGTGGTTTGGGTCCCGGACTCACTTTTATGAAGCTAGATATAGTTAATTGGGACCTTTTTTTTTGTTTTTCGTTGATTTTATTCCTGATGTGTTGTGTATCTATGGTTTGATCTGTTAAACAGAGTTTTTCATTGGACAAGAAGACAGGGAAGAAATGTTTTATGGTCTCAGCGAGGGAACTTACTATTTCATGGAGCGATACACCACATTATTGGGCATGGTCATCTCACCCCGACTCCAGGTTCTATATTTTCTCGGTTCCTTTTTGCTGTATAAATTTAGAAAGAGATTACTTAATTAAACATAAACACTGATCATGATTATTTTATGCAGATTTTCGGAAGTGGCTAATCTTCGGTTCGTTTGTTGGCTTGATATGCGAGGGAAGATTGAAACTCGACTACTGTCAAAAAGAACCAACTATGTTGTTTATCTAGTGTTCAAACTGAAAAGCGGATACTATGGCCTTGAAACTGCTAATACATTTGTTAGATTTGTTGATCTTGAGAGTGACAATGAAGCTGAGGAACGAGCTAGTGTTGTTAGTATTTCAAGACAAGAAGGACCTGGTGAGAATCGATCCAAGGGAAGAGACGATGAATGGATGGAAATAGAAATGGGGAAATTTTTCAATGACGCAGGAGAGGATGGAGATGTTGAAGCGAGATTAATGGAAGTTAGGCGTCTCTCTGCGAAAGGTGGCCTTATCGTTCAAGGAATAGAGTTTCGACCAGAATAAAGAAAAGAAGAATCCTTTGAACCATGCCTTTCCAATACTCCCTCTCTTCTTGATCGACTCAAATCCTTCTAAATATGGCCCTTTTCACCTAATGGTCGAACTCGAGTTATCGGTATAGTTGATTTACTATATTAATGTATGTTACTGCATGTAAAAAACTCATTTTGCTTGTGAAATATGGCACCTGTTTTATAGCATCAATTCCTGTTTTCACTCTGTTTCTTTCTAACTCTTTTCACTTCCTGTTCTGGTGATAGTTTAGGTAGGAAACGTGAACACCTGAATTAACGTAACTCGCAAAAAGTGATACTTCAGGTATGTTTTTGACCATTATCTCTATATATAATATTTCCTCGTTAGGTTTCTTGGCTCCGCCACTGCTATTGACAATAAAGTTGTTCTATAGATTTGTTTTATCTTAGCATTTTGAAGAAACCAACTCTAAATTACCTTACACATTACATCAAAATACA